GGACCTAATTTAACTTCCGAATGTTCCACTTTACCTAATATTGTACTATATGTTCTTTTTTTGTAAATTACGATATTACACGATTAGGAATTGATTTTATAATATAATGGAACACAAATGTCCAACAGTGTAACACAAGTCCTTCCTATTGTAATATCGTAAATGGGAAGTGAAATCCTGTGGAAAACGAAGCCAAACGTTAAGAAAATAGGCATGCATGCACGTTTGCAATTTCAAATAGACAGTTTGTCAATTGCATTATACTTGTTCAATTTCTAACTCACTGTTTGTCAATTGCATTATGTTTATTCAATTCCCAACGCACTGTTTGTCAATTGAGTTATTTTTGTTTCCTCCTAGGCGACCCAATCTATCAGTGCCCTTTCCATCTTATGGTCACTTCCTTTCAAATTAACTCATTCAATCCTTTCACGTACAACAATACACGATCATATTTGACATCATTATATAATACGTTTATAGCATCAAACAAGTTACATAAGCTTTGGGGTTACAAAACTATTTCGAAAGGGAATTGAAATCCTATGGAAAACCAAGCCAGAAGGGTTGAAAAAAGGCATGCATGCACGTTTGCAATTTCAAATTTACGGTTTGTCAATTGCATTCTTTTTGTTCAATTACAAACTAACTGTTTGTCAATTGTATTATTTTTGTTCAATTTCCAACTCACTGTTTGTCAATTGCGTTATGCTTGTTCAATTTCCAACTCACTATTTGTCAATTGCATTATGCTTGTTCAGCAAATCAAAAACCCATTTACTTCTGCTTAGTTTCTTCCTGTGCTGCATTAATTTCTGCTTAGTTTTTCTAGTTTTCTTTTCATAACATAATTACTTGATTTCATAGAGGGATACTTGATTTCATAGAGGGAAAATTAGTAAGTTCAATAGGTGTCACAGCCTTTGCACGATTGGAATGTAAATGAGAATTCTTTATTTATTGATTATGAATTTTGGTATTCTCATACTAACAACGCAAAAGTGCAAAATTTGTTCCGTAAATTGGCAATTGCATATTGGGATTCCAAACGTTGCCTCGCTGTTCGAAGAAGTAGTATTATATGACAACATTCACAAGGAAAATATAATTTCGACCAAAAATCCGAGGAAAATATAATTGCATCCATGTTTAATAGTGTTTAGGACTTAACCGTTCCATAACATTGTAAAGTTTATCTCTAATCTTGTAATAGAGATCATTTCTATTTATGATATTACAAGTTTATGGATACATTTTACAAGTTTATGGAATACTAAGATCCATAATATTGTATAAAAAAAAGGTCCTAAATTTTGTATTTTCAAGATAAACATATAAAAATGGGTCATTATTCTAGTAATGATGGACCTTAGCAACGTAAAATGGGTCATTATTCTAGTAAAAAATGTTTTACAAGATTAAGGAATGAGGGTAAAATTTATTAGAGTGTTGGGCACATCACTGTTCTATAACATTGTAAAATTTATCCCTAATCTTGTAAATTACAAGATTTAGGTTAAAATTTACAAGCTTTGGCATCGTTTTAAAGTTCACTTTCATCGATAATATTGTAATAGCGTAATTTACAATAAAAATGATCTCCATTACAATATTCATTAATTGTTGGGCTTTGAACAAGTAAAATTGCTCCTCATTCTTGTAAAAACAAGGATTTACAAAATCAAGGACTTATTTTATCATAGTTGGGGCATGCAAGGTCCGAAACCTTGTAAAGTTTATGCAAAATCTTATAAAACCATGAGTTTCATAATTGCCAATCAGGCACTCGATTTTCGCAAATTGGAATGGTAATTACGTGTTATCTATTTATCGATTGTCAACTTGATGGGGCTGAGTGAAAGCAAAATAGGCAATTGATGGGTATCGATTCGATAATATATGGTAAAGCAGACTTTTTTTAATTTTTTTTTTATATCAAAGGCCAAATGTGAGACAAATTTCCATCATTATTTAAAAGTGAGACATGATTTAACCAAAAAATAATAATTCTTAACAATAAAAGTTAATATGTGAAATTCTAATACTTTGTAACTTAATTTATGTCGATCCGTATGACCTAATACTTTCCATTTGTTATAACTTATATTTATTTTACCCTTAATCAATTCAAATGTTTTTTTTCGGAAATAAGCTTATCCTTAATATGAAGGATTTTGCACATAGATTACAACCTTTTGAACATACAATTAATTATAAAGGATTTATCATTAGTGAGAAATTCTACGTTTCATAATTGTGCACAAATAATGACAATTGGACGACTGGAATGCAAATGAGACTACTTTGATTGTCAATTGCTTGACTAGAATGCAAATTACACTACATGTTTGTTAATTGCATTGACAAATCACATATTGTATTTACATTTTCAATTAATTGAGCACATATAATGGCAATTGCTCAACTGGATTGCAAATGAGACTACTTTCTTTGTCAATTGCACGACTGGAATGCAAATGGCACTACCTGTTTGCCAATTGCATTGACAAATCACATTATATTTACATTCACAATGTCGAATTCGATTCTCAACATTAGCTAAAATACAGATGATTAATGGATCAAGACATGATGGTATAAGATGCTAGGTTACACACCTGTTTCTCTAATTCTTCAGCAACATCCTCAAACAATTCTTTTGGTGTTGAACCAGAGGTATTAGATGCAACAGCTTCATACGAAGACAGGTCTTTAACCTACAATCCAAAGACAACACTTATCAAAAGTGCTTCAGATGCAGAAGCAATCAAACATTTGTCTTTTGATTTACTATGCAGCTCTTCTTCATATATTATCTCCACAACAACTAGAGTTGAGCACCTTCATGCAGTAATCGAGCCAGTGAGTTTTAGCTGTAAGAGTACCGTCGGCAACATGTTCTTCCATCAGCTTTCGAAACTCATCGCGGTTTTCCTCTCAACCCGCCACAATTGTTCCTTAAATTTAGCGAAACACAAAGATAAGAACATTAAATTAGAAGAAAGATAAATTATCATTTATATGGATTATACCTTTTGTACCTTATTTTGCTCCTCTTCTTCCTTCTCAAGGTCGCAAATATAGTCCTGCAACAACAAAAAAAACATCATATAGTTCTGGTACATGAACACAACCAATCTTCTCACACACATGATTGAACATAGATTATGTGATCTACCTGGAAAATGAGCAACCTGTCAAGTTTTTCAAGATGCAAGCATCTCTCATCATCCTCTCAGCGATCTTGAACTTTCCGCCACTGGCTGTTCACCTGCAAATGAATGATGATCATGACAAAAGGTAATAGATAAAATCAGTCATAATAAAATACATGTACACGTTCCTTTTACAAGGCTTACCTTGATAAAGTCACAAGATTCCAGGAATTTTCTATACTATGCAATATTCTGCTTATGCTCTTCAGCCGACTTTTCTTTTTCCTGCATATAAGAATCGAAACCTAGGTAGTAAGAAAAGGCATCCTCTGTGACATGAGACCACTAATTTTAATCTTCCCACTCCAAACGAGAATGACAATGGAATACTAATACATGGCAATAAATTCACTCTAAAAGATAATATTGCTTTTGTTTGAGAAAAGAACTCAAAATTTGAGAAAAGAACTCAAAATTGTATTCTTTTCTGTCAGTTTATATTCCCTACAATCTAGGAAGTGTCAACATCTATATTAAGTAACATGAGCACCCCATGGAGTTTTGTACACCTAAAGGGCAATGAAAATGAGGATACCATTTAAGGCGGTTTTACCAAAGCAAATTCAACAGTTGGAAAATGCAAATTTAAACAAATCCACAAATTGAAGGGAGTTAGAACAAGTGGAGAACTGGACAATAAGTGAGACAGCAAGCCAATAAGCCAATACCACCAGTCCAATTGGTGGTTCTTCAACATAATTCATGTTTAAAGCATGTAGAGGCAATTCTCAATCCTATCTACTTGATACCAAAAATCTTTTCTAATAACATCAGGAGTCAAATATAAGGCCCTAATTTACAATACGATATCTATAAATGGTGCATAGCATAAGTCAGAAAATGAAAAATGAAAGGCAAATTGTTACCTTCCTCTCCAATTCTACAATGTAGCTCTCATAAAGATCTTCCCGGTCCCTCGCTCATTCTACAACCTTGAATCGTTCATCATTTTCAAACATACTGAGAGCTTTGCTGATCAGGCCAATACATCAGTCAGAACATCTAAAACATTTTGCATGCTTCCCAGTCATAAAATACATCAAAAAGACTAAACTCAAAATCACACTATTCATAGAACAGAGAGGAGTAAACCTCCATCTGGTTGCTGACGTAAGTTCCTTGGACTCCTTCAGAAAAATATCAAAATACAAACTTTTTTGTTAAGATCAAGGCATGATGTATTATAAAATTATTAAAGAAAAATGCAGTAACCAATTATGACTAGAAAGCAACATACTTGAAACATTTTTGAAAATTCTTCCTAAGCTTTTTTCTGCCTCATGCGCCTCTCTTCATTCTCCAGTTTGTTCCTTTGACCCAACTACTAAATTAATAAATCTCATTAGTTTTAGGTCAGAAAATGATGCGAAATATTCTTGATAAAAATCATGAATATTAATTAGGGGGGGAGTCATTGAGCAGTGCACAATTCTAATGAAATAAAAGTAGTCTTGAATATGTGCAAATAAACAAAAGAACGACCAAGACTCTAAAGCAGTTAAGAAATCATTAATAAGATTACCTCATTAAATGCTTGCTTCCTCTCACCTAGAGTTTTCAACGCACTATTGTCTGATATAACATTTCAAAAACTGTTAGAAGACTCTTCAACAACAAAAGATGGTGATAATACGAATGGAATAGCCAAGCTACCTGCTCCCAAGTCCAATCGGAGTGAACATTTGCAGATTCCAGAAGTGTTGTAAATGCATTTTTTGCCTCCAAAAAGAGAACATAATTATACACATATTATTCTTTGAACAGGCACGGCAATGAAAAATTGGACAAAGGCATAAAATCAAATATGTGTACTTGCTTATTGGCAAACACCAATGGTTCTTCATCAACTGTTTTCTCCTCTGACGGAGTCACATTAACTTCAATGCCATTAACAATCGCTTTAGGAGTCTTGGAGTGAGTATCACAAACTATATGCCTCTTGTGGTAATCCTTTGAGGAGCTAAGATCCATGTTACAAACAAGGACTTGCCGCGTGGGAGTGTGAGAGTATGAACCCTTAATGCCAGCTCTTGTAGACCTCTCTTTAGAATGTTGACCATTCTGCCCATTTTTGCTATCAGCCAACCTCCCTAGCTTCAAAGCAATGAGTGATGAATCCTGGCTATTAGATTCAGTGACCGGGCTCGAAAACTTTGACCCAGATTCTCCTTCACACCACTCAAGATCTGCAACACCAGCACCCACCAACTTGTTAAATACAAAATCAATTATAATAATCCATATTAAGGGAAAATTAATGAGAGTAATCTTGATGGAAGAGAAAAACATAAAATTGACCTGCCAAATGGTCCAATGGAACAAACTCTTTGGGGTTGCGATGGTGAGGAAGCCTTCGGTCTGCATAGCTCTCATTCATGACCAGCGTCATTTTGGCCAGATCTTTGATGCCCTACATGAGAGAAGGAGGCTGAGATGAGAGAAAGAGAGAGGAGTACAGGCGTTAAGTCTGAAAACGAAGAGGAAAAAGGATTTAGATGAGATAGAGAGTGAGGGTTTGGGATCAGAGAGAGCGAGAGTTAGAAAGATGAAGTGAGTGAAGAGGGGGCTTAGGTTTTGACGGGTTGGGAATTTTCTTTCAACCTGCTGAGCAGGTTTTTAGGTTATCCCATTCAATGGTGTGGATTTACCCAGGAAATTTTAACAAAATCTAATGGTGAACAGGACTTGGCGCATGGATGCGCCAGGTCCACTGTAGAATTTTCCCTAAAATCAACCCCTAGAAGGCCAGAGAGTTTAATGATTTCACACATTGCCAAAGATGAGAATCATCTCACACATTCAAATTCATACATAAAAGAAGATAAATTCAAATTCATAAATTCACATCAATGATAGCATTTTTGTTTTTTGTTTTTGTGAATGCAGAGAAAAAGTTGGGAAAAAGAGGAGCACAGTTGTGATGGTGGACGGCTCACAAGTCGAAGAATTAGACGCATTAAGAGACAATGATCAATTGTTTATCTTTTGAAAATGAAAATGAAAATGATGTATGAATGATCACTAATCAGTTTCAGTCACTTTATCAATGAAATTCTATAGCGTAACTCATGTCAAAGATGAAGATTGGACAAAGAACTTACAACACCTACATTCTATGCTCTGTTGTTGAGCATCTCTAAAACTACATAAGAAACTAAAGATATTACTCTAAAATTCAAACTAAATTATCTCAAGCACAAAAATAATACATTATAAGAAGTCATGGATCTCATGGGTTGTAATGGACACCAATTTGCTCCATTGTCGTGGAGGACAATAAATGTCTCAATCCTATCTCAAGTTCTAGATCATTATTTTAACATTAAGATCTCAAGTAAACAGAGTACATAAAATTCCAAGTTATCAAACACAGAATACACACAGTTTACAAAACAGAAACCCGCAATATCTCTTCAAGGCTGAAATGGATGCTCCATCGTCTAGCATCTTCCTTCAAGAACCCAGTGCTTTTGGTTTGAACAATATGCAGTCTCAAGGCCATCAATTTAAAGTCCCATATCATTATCAAGAATGAACAACTCTCAAGCTTCCTACCCTCAAATTCAAATAATAAAAAAAGTAAGAAATTAGCAACGTATATCTGAGAGGGAGAAAGGGGAGAGGTGGGAGAGAGAACAATTCGAAAGAAAAAAAAAACAGAATTATAATTTCAAAAAATTACCAAATTCCTATATAAATCCAAAATATTACCAAAATAAATAAATAAGGAATTGCGATTCAATACCCAAATCATTAAACCCTAAATTAAAATAGGACATATAAATCATTTTGTTAGAAAGCCTAGACCAAAATTCAAAGTTGAAATACTCTATGCTATGATGAAATAGGGCTTCCCTAGGATAATCTTCGAGGCTCGACTTCTGTAGGATAATCTTTATCTATTTTTATTTACGTTTAACTTTGTTTCATTTGTAAACTGAAATTCTTTAGATATGCTCTGTTATCGCCCATGCTAGGGTTGGATGTAAGGCTGGAGGCTCCAGCAATGAAGCAGCAACAACAAGGAAGATACCCAGACCAAAAACCCTAGAAAGGAGAACGAAATGAAGAAGGAGAAGAAGGAGCATGACCTACTTGAGAGGGGAGGAGATGTGGTCGCGGGCATCGTCTCGTCATCGCAGAAGGAGGAGAGGAGCTGCTGTGGAAGGAATCGAACTTGAAGGGAAAGAAATGAAAACCCAACCCTAAACTTGAAATGTCTCTTACTGAGCGAGCAAGTATTTTTTATTTGGTTTTACCTACAGCAACCAATTTAACCGGTAACCAACAATCAACGCTTTGGATTACCCCACATGCCCCAGCTACTCACAAAAGGTGGTGCATCCCCCTTTAGAGCCTGATTGAGGATGGCCTATGTTCTTTACCTTGTTCTTTTATTAAATTTTAAAAGTATGAATACAAATCATCACATATAGCTTTCGAGATGATGCTCTTTGAAATTTTTTTGGTGTTGAGCGACATGGTTGTGTAAGAGGAGTGAAAAACTTGACATGTTTTCACAACAGAAATTTCTTAGACATCAAATGGATGAAAAGGTGAAAAAGTTAACTAATGAGGTCACAGATTTTGAAAGAGTTGGTGCCTCTTCTTTTGAAGAATCAGGTAATTACTTATTAGGCTCTAATGGGCCACCCACAAGGTCCACACTTACCTTCTTCCCAACTTCAGGCACCGACGAGCTTGCGGGCCTTTTTCCTAAGTCTCTCCTTGGTTCCTCCTCAACTCGCCTCTTCCCAAGGTCTCGAGATAGAGTTTCCTCGGTCTGCCTCTTTTGCCCACCTCGGGCAGGAACCAAGGCAGCACTTGTCGCCTGGCTCCTAGCCACCAACATATGGGGAGATCCCCTGACTCGAGCCTGGGAGCCTCCTACCGACCCTCTCGCGAAGCCCTTCTTCGCCAGCTTCATCAGATTAGCTTGCAGAGCAGGATCATTTTGACCAGGCTTCATCACTGACACGTCACAATTTGCCACACTTAGTAAATCCAACAAAAGCAACAATCAACATAGAGGTAGAGAAAGGATAGCCAACCTGTTGAGCTGAGCAGACCTTCGCTGGCAAGGAGAATATCAGTGGCCCTCTCGGTACTGGGCAAGGCAAGTACCTGGTCAACTTGTTCCTGCTTAACTTCGAACAGCTCGGCTCGCTCCAATTCAACTGCAAAGATTCACCACGTATGTCCATACACAGAAAGGACAAAACGAAGAACATAAATACATGGACACATTTTTTATGAACATATGTAATAGCAAAACAAGGCTCAATTGACAGTCCTGCACGGTGGCCTGACCTGGCATTCTAAAGCGCCTTTGTATCCTAGGCTGCCTCGGCTCGACCCCCTCCACGAATTCCCACGCACCCGAGACATAGAACTAGTGCGGTTTCCATGTCTTTTGCGAGGAAGGGCTACTTTCAATTATCTTCTCCACTGCGCTCTGGAGATAACAGAACCCAAACTGATATGGACTTCTCTTCAATAGGAAGCAGTGCAACATCTGGTTTATGGTCGGCTCTGACTTATGCATCCGCTGCCACAAAGCATAGACACTCACCATGGTCCTATACACATTCGGATTCATTTGATGAGGCGCTACACCCAGCCGACTCATCCACTCTTACAAAAAGGGGGACAGTGGTAGCCGAACACCCTGCTTCAGTATGTCTACACACAAAGTCACCCACCCTAGTGGCGGTGTGCTCGGCTTCTCATTTCCAGTCGGCGCCCTAAGTATAATATTACTTGGTATGGCATGTTCCTCTCGGAGCCAATCTAACTTCTGTCGTGTCATACTACTTGGATGTTCATCAGCTAACCATCCCCCCTGCTAACTCAGTCCCTGTACTCGCCTCAGTCACCTCACTCGAGCCTGTGCCTACCCGCGTGCCAACATTTCTGGGCTTAACTCTATCTCCCTCTACGCTCTGGTCGACACGCGATCTACCCTCGCTTCTTTCACCACCCGACCCACCCACGACAATTGTCACCTCTCCCTGCTCTCATTCTACACGTCCTTCACCACCCTGATCAGCACTCTCCACTCTTTTGGCTCTGCGATACTCGATGTTCCCCTCGAGGGCATACCCTCTCCCATCTGCTCAGCTACCTTATACATTTCCTATACTACTTCTGTGTCTCTCTCATCATCCCTAAAGGCTGACCCGCTGCTCGATGGCTCCTGCGAGTCAGCCATATCTAATCGGCTTGACATGTTTTACACCGCTCCCAACGAAGCACTTCAAACACAATCAATCAAGGAAGGGGCGAGTTCCACAAATCAAAACACACCAAAAAAGGAACACTCGATGCGCACACTCTAAAAAACCCAGAAAGCATGAAAATGCTTGGAAATTCAAATGGCGATTCTGGGCAAGAAAAGAAGGAAGAGGAAGGAAAGAAGGAAAAGGAAGGAAAGATACTTACCAGCAACACCTGCGACCTGGAAAGCTACCATATTCACACACTTGACGCACTGAAAAAAATCGCCTAAACACACTGCTCCAAAGCTCTCCAACGGGATCAATGGCACAAATGCTTGAAAAAAGGCATGCTCCAACCCTTTTATACCACGACAACCATGCGATCCCCACAGTCTACACATCGGGTGCTTCGCTAGGATAGCCACACGTGGTCGAACCACAGCCCCTATCAGACGAAGCGATGGGAAATGAATTGACGCGACCCTTCCAACATGCCTACTGTTAAAGGCCATTAAATGTACCTTTGCTCCGCCAATCGGCCAGGGCCACGTCACCCACACTCAAGTGCCTGCAATTCAAAAACCTGGCGCCACTACTACTCCAAGGAACCTACTCGGCTGCGAACTTGGGGGCTATACTACCCGAGCCTTAGAACTTGGTATAAACAAAAAGGGACAAAAGGGGCTCAGCTCACTCAAAAACATAGGAAATTAAGCAACTCCCCACCCAAGGTTGGCTCCTTGAGGTAAAAAGTTGGGGGGCTACTATTAATGACTCATACCATCACTATGAGCCGAGCCCACCAGGAGAAACCACGTGGCCATAGTGGACCAGATCACTTATATACCGACCCGATCACTTATGACACCCTCGGCATCAGCAGTGGGCTCCTCAAAGCAGAATATGACGAAGCAAAGGTTGGACCAGTGATCGGGTGTTTAGTCACTGACCCGACCGCAGGGCATCATGTCCCAAACCAGAGGAGCATTAATGAAACAGCCTGGCAGGCAGGGAAGGTAGGTTGAGGCACGTCCCATCCCTGACCAAGTGTCACCTTACTCTTCGTTCTCCAGGATAAACAGGTTGGTGATGGAGAGGGATCATTTAATACATCTCCCATCCTTGTTTGCTGTCACTTTGCCACCTGACCCTGTCAAGAAGTAGGGTGATTGGAAGTGAAATAGTAAATGTGATTCAGGCCAGGGGAATAGGAGAAAAGATATCCTCCATAAATATCTTTGTCTCTCCTTCTCCCCCTTATAAGTACCCCTCACCTATCTCCAGACAAAGGTAATAACTTCTTGACCTAATGAACCATATATCCATTTATCTCCACCACCACATAGTTTCTGACTTAACCATCGGAGGGGGCT